CCCCCCCACTAAAAAAAAGCAGCAGTCCTCGTAGTAACCGAGTGACACAAGGAAAAAGCAATAGAAGCACAAGGCAGAGGGGGTGTCCCTTGGACCCCTTCGGCCACATCGGCAGGAAAAGCAGCATCTCAACCCCACCCCTGCTGCAGCTGGGGGAACACAGGTCAACATCACAGCTCTCTTTGGGCTCCGCATTTCCTGGGGGGGGGTTGCTGCTTTGAAGGCACACAACTGCACCGCCCCCCCCCGGCCCCCGTGCAGCCTCCATCCAGGAGTTGCCCACGGAAGCACACGATCCGGAAATTACGTACTTCTCTGATTCACAAACCCGGAAACATGCTAAAGCGGTCGAGAACGAAACATCCCTGAACATCATCCTAAAGAGCAGCATGATAAAGGCTACTGTTTTGGACTACAACCCCCACCCAAAAAAAAAACCCCTGCCCACCGAGGGATTTCACTTCCCAATGATTCTGCTACAAGTGCTCAGTGAAGGCTGTTTCTCTCGGAAGTGACTTTCCGGGCTCCGGACTAGGAAAAGGTGACCCGGCGCCTCCTGCCTTCCCCAGGCTGAATCTGAACCAGTTTTGAGGACCAAAAATGGTGTTCTGTTATGGAAAGGGTGGAGAGGGGGGGGGGGGCAAAGCAGGCATGAGGTGGGGTTTGCCCATGTGTTCTTCTGCAGGGTCAGACCAGAAGGCCTGCAACCCTTCCCATTTGAAGGCCATCTCAAAAATCCCCCCTTTTGTGCTCGCCCCTGTGTGTTTGTTCACAAATGATATTTGCAGCGGCTTATGGTTCCTCAAAAGCAAGGAGCGAGACAAACAGAAAGAGCTTCAGGACATCTCTGGGAATGAGACGTCTCCTGCGGCCACACTGAGTCGGAAGGAAGGGGTTCTCCTCTGCTGACCGGCCTTCTGGGCATGGACAGAGGGCTTTTTGCTCCCTTCATCAAACCCAAACCTCAGCCCCATTTCCCCCGGGAGAACCTCTCCCAGCTGAAGCCAAGGAGGGAAAACCCAGCGAACGCCGGCTCCTTTGTTGGGGCAAAACTGAACAGAAGCCAAAGAGCAAGGGAAGTGGCCGGAAGGCCCCAGAATTTGGGACTCTCTTCCTCTGAAGACAGCGTGCGAGGACACAAGGAGGTCTCAAAGCACAATTTGTGCAAGCTCTGCATCATGGTCTCAGAGCTGCCAGGGAGGAAACAGGATCACACCCTGCCCTGCCAAGGCAACCCTCAAGGGCCAGAGAAGGGTTTCGGCGTAAACGTCTCCCCTGCCGTGCTGGCAGGAAGCGGGCATGTGCATTTTAACACCGGGAAGTGTGCAAATGGTCAGATACCCTCCAGTGTTACATAGCCTTGCAGCTTAGCCGGGCCACAGAGAGGCCATCTAGAAGTGCCAGCGGTGTGCCTCTGCCCTGGTTAGAACTGCCTCCTTTGGGGTGGAGGGGCTGTTCTAACATAAATCTGCCTCTCCCCCCCTTCCCGGTTCCTTATCAGGGATAAATGGCCTGAGAGGAGCTTTTTTTTTCCAGATCCGCCTATCTGGTGCTTTAAAAAAAACACAACAGTGGCCATCCCACGAAAAGGAGGCACCTGGCCGTATTTTGCTCACTGTTGACTTCAGGAGAAAGGGCCTCCGGCCATTGAAGAGAGGAGAATCCCTACCCCATTCGCAACACCAGATTTGCAGAAAGCAAAGCTGACATTGGAGCAGGAGGAGGAGGATGACACCGATGAAGGCGGGCACCTTGCTTTGGGAGGCCGAAGTGGTCCGAGGAGAGGAAAAGAGCCAGCCAAGGATCAGGTGCCCGGTTCTTTTCACCCACCCACTCTGCCCACTGCCAACCTACACAGCGAAAGCCAGCCTGCCCCCTTCCAGGAGTGGGGCTTTGGGACAGAGGACAAGAGTGTGGCGTGCGCGTGTCGGCTTGCAAAAACCACCCACAGAACAGTAGCCGACTGAAAGGACTCGAGGGCAGGACACTTTTATTTGCAAGATCCAACTTGCTGCTTCTTCCCACCCTTCCAACTCACGGGCCCTGGGAAGGGGAGCGCCTGCCCGTTTGCCCCTGCCACTCTGACACCGCGGGGTGGGTGTGGATGTGGAAGAGGGGGCTCTTCCCCCTTCTCCCCCTCCGAACACAAGCGGCATTGCTTACAGAGACAAAAAGAAGAAGCCCAGGCGGGTTTGGATGTGGTGGAAACACACAGCCATGGTCGTCTTCGGGGGCTGCAGGAGGGAGGGAGGGAGACGGAGGGGGAGGGGGCGTCCGCTCAGTTCACGCTGTCCTCGTCGCTGCCTTCGCCCCGGTCGTCTTTGGTCTCGGAGAGGCTGCTTTCGTCAATGTTCTCGAGGGAGTCGGCGTGCTGGATGGCCAGCTCGGAGAGGGCCACGCTGGCCAGGGTGTTCTGCTCCGGATACAGCCAAGGCTTGAAATGCGGGCTGTGCTTCTGCTTCCAGTCGGGATACTTGACGCACGCCTTGTACATCTTCTTCATTGCCTGGAGGAGAGAGAAGGGAGGAGACGCAGGGCGGTGGAGAAACAGAAAGAAATCAGGACTGGCTAGCAAAAAAATAAATAAATAAACCACACACAGAGAGAAAAACCACACAGAAAGCCCCAGATGGCATCCAAGCTACTGGGAGCAACAACAGAGAAAGGCCGAGGCGCCACGAAGGTGCCTACTCGCACACAGCTTGGAAGCGTGACTTTCTAGGATAACAGCTTTGGGAATTCCCTTCACCAGCACAGCCAGTGGCCGTGGCAGATATACACAAAGCAGAGCACCAAAAGCAGGAGCAACTAGTCTAAGGCATGAAGCAGGGAGGAACATGAAAAAAATAGAAAGCCTAGTATTTTCCTCTCTTTGTCTCTTCTGGATCTACAGTTAGACTTGTACTGTTATGCTTCCTTCCTTCCTCCTTCTCTCTTTCCTGGGTCATTTCCTGTTTATTTCTTGCTGGTCCATCTTATCTAATTAGACAGGCAAACCTGCAGACCTGGAAAGAAGCACTAGGGCATTGTCTAAATTTAAGGACTCTTTATCTCTTGCACTGTCTTCAGGTGGATTTCCTTGTTGACGAAAAATAGTTACATTCTTTTTTTCCCCCCTCTTGCATAATATGAGTTTTCGAAGTGTTGATTCCCCAACAGTTACAAACTCTGCAGTGACTGGATAAATAGCAAGAGATCCTAATAGCTCAGAGGACTGAACTTTATCAGTTTCCTGGGGATCAAGTGACTAAACGCCCTGGCAGGCTGAAATGCTGGGCATCCAGGGGTGCCCTCGAACCACAGAGCTTAGAAGAGGGGCACTCTTTCAGAACAAACAGAATTTTATTTATTGGCCCAAACCTTCCCCAATCACATATACTTCTCCCAAAGTTTGATCCAATTTCACAAGGTCTCCACCTGGACTGGTAGAAGGGCCAGCAGGATGGGGGGGTCAGAGTCCCATCCTGCTGGGGTTCGGGGGTTTTCAAAATTCATCTTTTCCTCCTTAGCAGAGAGATGGGAATCTGGCCAAACCCCAAGTCAGAGGCAGGTCTGCCCTACAACCTCTGGAACCTCATCCCGAACGTCGCTGGTTTTTGCAACAAACTCAGAGAGTGGCCGTCCATTTGTTTATCTTGCAAATGAAACACAGAAACCGTTTCCTTAAAGAATGTTCCTCTGCCTTCCGTCCCCAGAAAGTTAATACGCTTCAAAAGAAACGACGAAAGCAGCCTCTTTTCTCTCCCTTTCTTCCCCTTGTGGGGTTTTTAATTAAATGACGGTCACGTTACATCGGCTGACGCAGGTTCCTCTCAAAGGCCATTGTGGGCTGAAGGTTTAACATGATCTCTCGGCAACCGAGCTAATTAATCAAGCCACGGGCTCCGTGGAAAAGGGAAAGTTACGCAATGAGGCGCTCAGGTAAAACTCCATCGACGCTGGCGCTGAAAGAGGACACTCACCGTGCCGGCCCGACATCCAGGTTTTCCTGAAGCTCAGAAGGGGCCCAAAACCCGCTCCCCTCCACCAGACGCAGCCTCTGCAACCCGTTTGCTTTGGGCTAAGATGAAACTGCAAAAGCTCTTTAAAAATGTTTCCTCTTCAGAATGGGACGTCGATGGGTGAAAGGCAGAGGAGTTGGGGTCCGCTCGTTCGGAGACCAAGGGGGAGGCAAAAAAAGGGGGGTGCTACTAGTGAAGAGATAGCTGGCAGGACAGCTCGGTGAATTAGGTCTCTGGCTGCAGAGCCAAATGTTGGGAGTTCGATTCCCCCCACTGGGCCTCCCCAGGGAGAAGAGCCAGCCTGGGTGGCCTTGGTTCCAGGGGCACATGGGTCCCGGAACTGCCCCTAGAAAACGGGGAACGGCAAACCCCTCCTGTGTCATCTCTAGCTGGAAAACCCAGGGAAGGGTTGAGACACAGACACTCCCAGAGGTGAAAGAGGAGATAAAATTGCAGTCTCGCCACAAGAAGAAACGTTTGGGGGGGGGGGAAACCCACCCGGCACTAAGGAGGGCCCAAGCTGCCCTTTGCACAGTGAAAGTGACTTTAACGAGGGCACCGCACCCTTTGCTCCTCCTCGTGAGGGATACAGGAGGAAGAAGAAAAAAACGAGCAAAGCCAAACCTCGGCTTACCTTGGGAGCCAGGAACTGAGAGGACTTATTCACCACCCATTTCGGCAAGGAACCTGAGGAGGGGACAGCAGGCAGAAAGAAAAAAGAAAAAATGAAAAGTGAGATGGCTCCTTTTGCTGTCAAACACCACCCATTTCGGCAAGGAACCTGAGGAGGGAACAGCAGGCGGAAAGAAAAAATGAAAAAAAATGAAAAATGAGATGGCTCCTTTTGCTGTCGAACACAGTGCAAAAGGGAATTCCTTTCCTGGCGATGGGGCGCCCGTCCATTTCATTTTGGGCGTGTGGGGTGGAGTGGGAGGGTGGGGGTGGCATAACAAGAGGCAGGGCATTCCACCCCAAATCGCACCAAACAAGGACCGTCGTTTGTCTGCACCCTTCTGAGCTTCCGGTGGACACAATTCATGGCTTGCACCCGGATGGCTGGAAGAGGAGAACGCCAAGCTGAGGGTGGCCTCTGGCTTGACATCCCTCGGATGAGCTTTCACGCATTTCCTCACGGAGTGGCCGGCTGCCTTTTAAGCCCCAAGCTTCTAAGCCAGACTAAACCGTGTTCAACCTCGGGCAACGTGACTTCTTTGGAACGCAGGTCCCAGAATCCCACAGCTCACATGACCACTGGCCACAGAGGATGATGCATCTTGGAGGTGGGTGACCCAGAGAGGAACATTTCAAAGTTCTGCGCATGCGTGCACACGAACACCCCTACATGACTGCCTCATTGATTTTTAGCTGTTTAGCACAAAATACGTTTGAACTGTCCAGAGGCAGCAGACAAACAGGACAAGGAAATAATGCAGTAGGATAGAACAATCTTTAATGCACACACAGGGGAAAACTGGCCTTTGCGGATAATGTTTCTTGGGTGGAAAAAAAAATTCGGATTGCAAAATATCTGATCATTCCAAACTATACTTCCCAAAGCTACTTGGGTCATACTTTTTTAGCTTTTGCCTGAAACAAGCAAACAACATGGATCTCGCAATGCAAAAACTCCCTAAAACGGATCTTGCATGGTTATTGAAGGGGCAGAGAGGGTGGACAGGGTTGTGGCGGTGAGGGCTGGGTTCCCCAGATCTTGTAGGCTTTCATAGAAACTGCCCACAGCCACTCAGCCACGTGGCTGGAGTCACAAGGGCCAGAAGCCCCCTCTACATTTTAAGCCACAAATGCTGCCATCTTTGACAATGGGTTGAGAGGCTTTAACAAGGCAGATCAAAAAGTCCTCCTTCCATGTTTATTTAATATCATTTACTCTTCGCCATGCAAGCAGTAATATATCGGTATCATTCTGGACACCAGACTTCAAGAAGGATGCTAACAAATTGGAACAAGTTTAAAGGAGGGCGACAAGGATGATGATCAGGGGGGACTGGAAACCAAGCCTTATGAGGAAAGGCTGAAAGAATTGGGCATGTTTTGCCTTGAGAAAAGAAGGCTGAGAGGAGACAGGAGAGCACTTTTCAAATATTTGAAAAGAAGAGGGTGCAGGATCTGTTCTTGATCATCCCACAGTGCAGGACATGCAGCAATGGGCTCAAGTTAAAGGAAGCCAGTTTTCGGCTGAATCTCAGGAAAAACTTCCTAACTGTTAAGAGCAGTACAACAACGGAATCCATGACCTCAGGAAGTGGGGAGCGCTCCAACCCTGGAGGCGTTCAATTCCTGCCTTGAGCAGGGGAGTTGGACTCGATGGCCTTAGAGGCCCCTTCCGACTCCATGATTCTAAGATTCTACACGATAACTCATATTGTGGAACAGTTCTGCATGGAGCCAATGTACCCTGTTCGTATTTAGTAAAAATAAAAGAAAACAAGGGGCACAAAGACTTCTCAATCATTTTTTCACAAGCCGCCTTGCTCTCAGATGTAAGGGTTCTCATCCTCTGATCCTTTTCCTAGGGATTCAGCACAGACCTGCGTCCCTACGAACCTGGATGGGAAAACCACCTTCACAATCATGTGGAAACGGCTGGCCGGAGTTTACCTTTGGGGTCTACCTGCGCAAGGTAGGTGAGGGTGCAGTTCTTGGCTCCTT